CATAGACACAGCTGTCTTGGAAGCAAGAACCATTCACTGATGAAAGGCGCGTTTCTGATTGGACAAGACCGATACAGCCTGTAATGAAGAATTGATTAACTCTTTCCCTTCATCTAATTAGCTGCAGCAAATACCGAGCCAGATACTGTCAGGTTGGGGGTGGGTGTAATTTCAAGTAGTTTCTTTGCAAATGCTGAGGGAGCCACTCAACGAAGCTGGGGTCTAACTACCTATTTCCAGAATAAGAATATTGTGCCCCTTTCTCTCTCTTCTGTTACAGGATTTTAGCCTTATACAAAGGTCTGCTTCCCAAGGTGATGAGGCTTGGACCAGGTAAAGATGCTCTCACTATTTATGTCCTTTCTCCTTTATTGTCCTGGTATCTCTTCTCTTACCTATGAAGATCAGCAACACCATAGAAGTTTATCATATGGGGAGAGAGTGAAAACCTGAGGATAGAAAGTTACCAGTTCAAGATACTGAAAGTATCCATTAGAAACACTCTACCTTTGTTTATAAATACTATTTATGGCTTTGCTGGAGGCCAATGAGCACTAACACCACACCAATAGGAAAAGACCCCCAGCCACCAACCCGATTGAGCTCCAATAAACAGCAGCTTCTGGCTGAGTAGAGAATTCCATGGAGAAACCCATCTGCTAAAACTCTCTCTTGGGCTCAGGGCTCAATCTTCCTTCTGCCTCACCTTCATTTCCAAAAGATAAAAGGAAGAGAACTTGCTTTCCTGAGCATCAAGAGTTCCCTGAACCTCATTCCCAATCACTTCTATGGAGTGAAGCAATCACTTGTCCCAGTCTCCATCGGTTTGGTAATGAAGACTCCTGGCTTGGGGATAGGAGATCAAAAAAAAAAAAAAAAAGCCTGACATTCCCACAGGGAGAGTCAGCTGCCTCTATGTAAATAGATAAGAAAATAGCCACTGGAGACTTCAACGGCCTGGGCAAATAGCCCTGGATTACAAGCCACCCTATGATTAAGTACGAACATATGTTCTAGACCACACAGACATTTTTTTTTTAACCAGATCTCGTGCCCCTCCTTAGACATCCTGGAAGTCTTCTCTGGAACATTCTCCCCCTCCATTTTAATACCCATGCCCTCCTGTAGTGGCACAAGTATGTTTACGTTCAATTCTTAATCCAGAAAACCCGCCCATCTCCCCACCTTAGGTAAAGAACTGCCAGCAGTATGTAAGACGAAGCTGGAGAAGAGTTCACTTTTGTGTATTTAAAAATCATTCCACCTTTCCCCATCTAGTACCCCAATCTCTGTGGGCGGTAAAGCGAAGATTTTTCGTCATATTTGAGATCTAGACCTGCCTCCTGTCGATCATTGGCCCACGTGTCAAAACTAACTAAGGGATAGAAAAACATCGGCAGTGCTGTGCATCTTTGTACTTCTCCCTCACCAAACACTGAAGACCTGATAGTAGACCTAATACCCGTGAAAATCACAGGTCCAGCCCTAACCAGCGTTCTCAAAGAGTAGGGCTGAAAAGAGTAACTGGGGAGAACGGTAATCGCCTGGAACCTTGAACCAAAACTCTTAGATAATCTGACCCCAACTTCTGTTAGAGGCTTCCAAATGTTTGCTTAGGTTTTTAAATGTTTCTGCACGAGGTATCCTAAGTTGCTCTGGTGTTCAACGCAATGAAGAGGGTGGTTGTATTACTGTCCAGCCTAAACCAAACTGTGAAGAGCAGTAACCAAATGGAAACACCTGGCCCCCACTGCATTTCAAATGTGCAAGTCCTCGGAACATCAGAGAAAAGAAAAGAAAATAGTATAAGAGAAAATTGGGGGAAGGGGGCTAGGGAGATGGCTCAGTGGGGAAAGATGCCCCCCACGAAACCTGACGACCTGAGTCGCATCCCCCAGGGCCTACATTGGTGGAAGGAGAGAAAAAAAAATGTCTACAAACTCGTCCTCTGGCCACCCCCCTCACCCTGGCATGTAGGCAGGCACACATGAGGGGTAGGGGTGGGGACCTGAAATACAATTCAAAAATTAAACTTAAGATACATAGAGTGGGGGTTGGGGGCAGCTCAGTGGTGGAGCATAGAGCTAGTATTCACTAGGCCCTGACCTTTGAACCCCAGCGTTACAAGTAAGGGAGGCAGGGGGAGAGGAGGGGAGAGGACTGGAGAGAGTGGAGGGAGGGAAGAGAGGAAGGAAAGAAGGCAGGCAGGCGAAGTCGGGGGGGGACACCCAGATTTTTCATCCTTCATCCTAGAGAAGCAGTTCATCTTGTCTTTGTAAATGCTTCAGCACTTTCGCAGTTTTGGGTGGCTACCAGTGAGGTTCCGCCTACTTTGATTTCTACTCTAGATCTCACTAAGCTGAAAACTCAAGTAGTCTTCTCTCTCTGTCTCTGTCTCTGTCTCTGTCTCTCTCCTCTGTCTCTGTGGGGAAGTATGCATGCATGCATGCACGCACATGCTTTACATTGTGGACAGTTAGTAAAAGCAAATACAGTGAACACACACACACACACACACAACCTTCCGTATGGCTTCTTGTTTGTTTGTTCATTTGTTTGTATTTTTAGAATTCCAGGAGAGTTAGGAGTTTAATAGAGTATCTCCATGGGTTAAAAATGAAAATTACAGGCAGATAATTATCTTTGGTTTATGGTTACACAAACATGTGCAGCCTGTAGATTTTTTTTTTAAATCATATGGCAGTGTGCGCAAAATAGCTAAGATCCAAATCAAGTTCCTTTTCTTTCCAAGAGAAGTCAGCCTTCCACCCATGCAGCCAAGCCTGTTCTAAGTCATGCGCTCAGTATTTGTCCACATTTTTTTTTCTCTCATAGGCCGTTCTAAGTTACAGAACACATCCTATTTGCTGCATCCAAATGCTTGCCCCAGTGTGCAGGTGTCCAGCATCCTCGGTGCCTATTTTCCTAAATCATATTCCCGTTGATGTCTTTGACAGCAAACCACTTCACAACCAGTTCCACAACATTCTCATCTAAGACAAAGGGTGGTCCCATGCCGCTCAACTCTACCCCCAAATCTTCAAGTTCAAATCTGTATATATTTGAGGCAGATATGTGGAATGATCCTTAGCTTCCAACTTCCTTTTGCTAAGTTTTGCAAAGCAGAGTTTTAAAATATTCAGAAAGTAATTTCCAAACAGCACAACCCATTTTAAAAGCCAGACTCGTCTGTCAAAGCACAGTCTTGAAGAATTCTTTCTTAAGCGCAACTAAGACAATGCCAATTATGTCTGAAAAAGAGAACTCTATTGGCTAGATGTGAAGAATCTGGAAGTTTCTGTTCGCAGAAAAGTCACATGCCTTTACATGACTAAATATGTCTTTATTTATTTACTTCTTTTAAAGCTGAGAGTGCCTGAAAAAGAATCTGATGAGAAATGAGGAAAGTTGCAGAAACTCACAGGGAAAAAAAATGTATTTGGAAACACAAGATGGTCTTGATTTTACTCTGAAAATTTTCCACGATTGTTGTTTTCTATCTGTGCCTCAGAGCTCCAGCACTGATGACTCCAAAAGCCCCAGTCTGATCAGGCCTCCGGAACCTTGGTGGCACAGGGTGGTGGTGGGGAGCAGTGTCAATGCCGTTACCCAGGACCCTGATGAGATGCGGCTCTCTTCTCTTCTAGGTGGCGCGGTGATGCTGCTGGTGTACGAATACACCTACGAGTGGCTGCAGAAGAACTGGTGATGGACGAAGAGGTGTTTTCCCCTTGACATAACAGAGATGTGGTCTGCAGTCCCATGAAGAGGAGACAAGTCAGCGAAGCGAGACGTAAAGAAGGGAGGACAGCCTGTTCTGATGTTTTAAGAAAGTTTTAGACAAATTTACCTGGCCCTGTGGGCCATAGACACAGCACTGTGAGAGGGAGAGGAGTGTGCAAGTTAGGCAAAAGTAGGGGAGAGATCAGCTACACTTCATAAAAGCTACACCAACTGTGTGACTCAGACTGCCCACAGTGAAAACTCATCCAATCATTTTGCTGAGAAGGCTATAAGCACTTAAATCCTTGAAAATACATTGTTCTGTGGCTAATTCCCTGAGAATGATTTAAGAAAAAAAAAAAAAGATTGAGTTAAAAGCCAAACTTTAAATGCTTTTTATAAGGAATTACTTTTCCATAAATCATATTTTAAAACAGAAGAAAGAAAAAAATTAAATACACCAAAACAGCCTTTCAATAATGTTTAGTTTTGTGAGTGCTGTGTTAAAATGTGAATCTACTGGTTTTCTTTAGTAATGATACACAGGGTCTATTTTCCTAAGTGTATTTTATATTTCAGGTGGTGGTTTAAGTGGGTTATTTTTAAATCATGCTCTTTGAAGTCTTTTATTACAAATAGAATACACGATATTATACTAAACTGATCTCCTTTATGTAACTCACTTTGAAGACAAGTTTTATGACCGAAATATCTTTATTTTACGTCACAAATTGATGCACTCCTTGGACGCTTCCCTGTGCCTGTGTGTGCCTTCCCACACCTCTTCCTGAGCCCTTGCCTATGCCATTCTTAAAAAGGATGTAGGGAAATGAAACTATTCTCCAGACTCTTGGGTTCAAGTGACATCTTTAAATATGAAATCAATTGTCTAGAATATTAAAATGTCTGTGATAAAGGGAAAACCTTTCAAAATGAAAATACATTCTTAGCATTTCTAAGCATTCATGTATTAATATGCACTCAAAAAAGAGAGAGAGATAGCATTTTGGTCTTGATATAACTAAAGCTTCTTCTTAAGTCTGCATCCTCAAATGATACTAATTCAGTAGCTAAAGTCAACAAAAAAAATGTCAACATGTTTTAGATGTCACCTGTTCTTAACTACTACTGTGGGGTATTTCTGCTATGGGGGATTCTCACCAAAACATTTTGAAAATAAACAGTAAAAAGGACATGGTAATTATTTGTATTTATTAATTTAGAGCATTTGAAGTATAAAAATAAAAGGCTTTTGACATACTGTATATACATACATAGCCTTCTGTTGTACATCTTTTCCAACATACCTTTTTTTTTCATTTGTATTTCAGCCCAATATTCAATATGTGGGTCATTAAAAAAAGAAAGCCAGGAGCGGGATGTGTTTGTGTGGTGGGATTGCTTTCTGCCCTTGAAGATAATGCACACTAGGGTCCTGGGAGAGAGGGCTGGAGGCGCAGCACCGGGTAGGAAGGGGATTGCAAGGAGTGCATGTGCCAATTAGAAGTCTTTACCCTGTGAGAGTCAGGAGGGCATTAATATTAACCAACAGCAACAGGTTTAAAGATCAAGCAGTCCTGGCTCTACTCTTTCCTGTTCTTAGTTTTTAAAGTGGCCTCAAATCATAAATGTCCATGAATACCCAACTCGATTTAGGCTTTCTGTTGTCTTAAAAATTGTTCCATGTGGATTTACTGCTATTCATAAAAGACCTGGGGAGAGACGTGAAAGTGGAAAACTTTGACACCATTAATATTAATTTCTTAAAATACAAAAAACCAGAAAAATATAAATAACAATAAGATTTCTTAATTTAGATAAGGAAAATAACATTATTAGTTGTGTTTCCATACAAACAATTGATATTTTTCAATACCCCTAATAGCCATCTAAAAACATTAGATAAAGAATAATTCTGTACCTTAAGTCACTTTTTCTGGATGGCAGGCAAGTTCCTCTACTGCATGCTTTGCAAGTCTCCACCAAACTATTGGATTGGATCTTTGTACCATTCGGTTAGAGTCTAGCGTCTCACCACACTGGAAACTCCAGACGTCAACAGGGAGAGTTTTACAAGATCAAAGGAATACTATGGCCCTGAGAGTTTTTCAGCTCCTTCTGCTTTTCTCCTGAAGTTATAATCCTGTTTGTAGCAATGAATGGCAGTTGCTTTAGAAAGAAATGCAGTACGAAGCTCTCTATAAGACATCGGCTGTTTGAAAAAAAGCAGTTCCTTGAACATAACTCTGTGTCAAAAGTCTGCTTATAGTCTATATCCTAGGGACTCAAAAACTAGCTGATCTGGCCATCTGAGCTCTAGCAGAGGTGATGAAACCCGCATAACAGGACTGGGTTGCTCTCCCAGCTGTGCACAGAACAAACGCAGAGAAACCAAATCTGCCAGCAAACCGGCATCTTTAACATCCACATCTAGGGGAGGTACCTGTTTCGTTATTGAATGTAATTAATAGCAAGACACCCCGCAGTACATTAATATCTCAGTAGATGAACTGTGTCGATGTTCCAAAAGTTACTTTTAACCCTATGTTGCCAAGCAAGAGGAACCTCCTAAGCAGAAGGAATGCAAACTGTAAAATCCTTCCCAAGAAAATGAGTTATTCTAAAATAAAACATATAATCATGAGGTCACACACATATGCATATCCCACAACTCTATTCATAACATTAAAGCAAAAATCAAATCAGTCTAGAAAGGTTTAGCAGTTAATCTCTGTTCTGTAATTCTATAAATGAATAAAGGGAATTTGCTAAAAATTAAATAGCATTTGTATTTCTAATACCAACACCAATTGACCTACACGTGAAACATGCTTCGGTACACAATGTAAACTTCACAGCAAGCCATTGTTACATTCATTAGAGTGGAATTCTCCATTTCCTTTTAAGTTACAAGATAATTTGGGGCTGAGATTGCGGAGCACACAGGTAAGCCAACAATAACAATTTCATTTCACAGTGGTTTTGGTTTTTTTTTTCATCACATAAAGTTCATTTTAAATGTCTCTGCAGAAAAACATCTCACATTAGAATTGTGTCTAGGTGACTTCCCTCAGAGCCTTGTGGAGCACGTACATGACAGCCTCTTGCTGTCCTATAGTCCTATACATGGAGTGTGTGTTGTTTGACTGAGATACGATAGGAAAGTGGCTTGTTCTGTCCATGTTTTGAGTCCTCTGCTGTAGAAAGAGAGTATCCTCCGTGAGATGCTGAAGCCTTCACTGCACACACACAATTTGGGGGCAAGTCCAGGTCCAAGAGCCCAAGTCACCCACCACCAAATAGAGAAAAATTACATTGCCAGAAAGACACCTTTGTGGAAAAGAAAAAAGAAAAAAGAAAAAAAGAGGCGGTGATGTTTGAGGAGGGGTATCCCAAGAATGAAGACGCAAAGGTACCATCCACAGTCCATATTTACAAGCTAATAGAAATATAAACATTATTGTATTAGGAACCAAGTCAACACACCAAAAGGAGGAAATTCTCCGATATTGCTTGGGTTCTACACATATTTTTCAACAAAATACGTCATCTCTTAAAAATAAGCAAAAGATCACACAAGTCAGTTACTGATTGGCTTCCCAATGGTGAATTAAGGCTTATCTGGTCACATTGATTAAAGGGTATCACGTAGCTAATTTTTTTTTCTACGTCTCTGTTCCTTTATTGATTTTGCAAAATCTCAACAATTGCACGTTTCAAAAGTTCAGGTTGATTTAGAATAAATATACATGTGTGGTTTTACCAAAGACAGGTCTACAAAGTCCCATAAGCCCTTTGAGGGGTACAGGTTTCTTCACTATGCTAAAACAGTGTGCGGGCAACACAATGTCTCATTCAATCTTTAGAGTTGCTTTTGTTTTTAAATCCTAAAGTTATGCCAGATTTCCTGCAAAATAAAAAGAATTTACGACAAGAGATATTTAAGTGTCATCAGCACAGAGGTTATGAATCCATAAAGCCAGCTCTTGAGGCCAGAGGGCTGGACCACTGGAGGGGTGGGGATGTGAAGAGGGGGAGGATGTGCTGAGAGAGGAGACCAAAGTGAAGGGGCTGTAAGCGGAAGTTCCCATCAGAGTGCAGAAGCCGCCACAGAATGGCTCCCTTCTCTGGCTGCCTGCATTCCCTTGAAAGCCAGCGATGCGGGAATGTCACAGCTGTGGGGGGACAGTGGGGTGCTGCCGGCATGTTGCCATCCGTGTCCAGCCACATAACCTGAAGGAGCAGCACTGTAGGTCATGTAGGGTGAGACTTGAGCTGGACTAGGGTAAGGAGCCATGCTGGATGCTGATACAAAACTGCTCACAGCTGGGAGACCGTTCGGTGCCTGAGAGAAAGGAAAGACAATCACATTACAGTATTCAACATCTCTCCAGTCCTTAGACACAGAATAGAGAGTGCGAGTGAGCTAACAGTATCCTGGTTCTACTTCTGGGCTGTCTTTTTTTTTTTCCCTAGACTTCCTTTTAACCTTACTTTGACCTGAAAGTATCCAGTCTTGCTACTTAAACAAACACGGAGCTGAAAAGCAAGATACTGTTCTTTCTACAAACGCTTTTTGGAGGAAGCTACAGCCAGAAAATTCACAGCTCTTACTTTTGTGATTTGCAAGCATATGAAGGCGAGGCAGGGTGAGAAAGAGGCGAGGTGATTAAGCAGCTCGCCAGGCCTTTGTCAACCTTCCTGGCACTTGGGTTTTGTTGGGCCCTTTTGTTGAAGCTTTGCGACAGGCTTGTTTCAGGAAGCTTTCATTTCCAGGAGAGAAGGGCACAAGGTGTGGGTTGTTGTGTTAGAAACTCAAAATGAGCAAACCTTCTGTTAAATAAAACATGGGCCATATTTTAAGATGCCATGTTGAAAACGCCACTTGGACAAAGGACATGTAAAATCGGGACTTCTCTAGCAAGGGCTTTTGCTGTTTTCTTACTGTTGTTTTCGTTTGGAGTTTGTTTGTTTTCTTAATGAAGTTTGGGGGATGTATTTTTTTCACCATTTTAGCAGAAAGGAAATTTTTCTCCACAAAATTGGAAGTTTTGCTCTTGCAAAGTTTGTTTTTTTGTTTTGTTGTTGTTGTTGTTTTTTAGTCATATGGACAAATCCCTTTAAACGAGTTTAATGTGAAAGCTTTGTTTGCAAACAAAATACAGCAGCTCTGGCGGGCAAGCTTGCCTAGAAACCAGTGCTTCTTGGCATCCAATAAATCATTGTTGGTATCGTTACTATTAACAACACCAAAAACACCCTGAGTTTTAATCCCTCTCTGGCGTGAGTACTCCCCACCCTTCAAGTGGTTCATTTTTTCCTCTCAGTTTCTACTCTGTTTAAAGATAAAGACTAAATCTTGTTTCCTGGAAATGACATGACTGGACTAACGTGTCAACATGTTTCCCAGTGAAAAGGTAATGTAAATACTGGAATTGTATTAGAAAATCATGATGTAGTCCCTAGAGCTCAGTAAATCAGACACATATTAGATGCTTTGTCCAGTTAAGTTAGGACAGAAAATGATGCTTTCTTTTGTGTACTCAGATTGAGCCCAGGACTTTGTACACAAGTGTGCCGTCCACTAAATAGGCTGTACCCCTTCTCACTCAGTTCCAGAAACTGCTTTCTGAATTAACTCATTTGGTCGTCATTTTTACTTCCACATCTATGAGAACATAATGGTGAGGTCTAAAGGCCTATTTTTGGAGTGTAAAAGGAATATCTATATGTACATATATACATATACATGTGTATGGTAGAATTTACATGGATGCACATTAGCATTGCCCATAGAGTTCTGACAAAACCTCATCTTAAATCTTTGGTCTATTAGAACACATATCTTATATTCTTCTTTTTGTCATTGTATATTCTTTTAAAAATGGAAGAGGAAAGAAAAGAAAGATCCTTGAATACCTCCTATGTCCCAGGTACCTACAAATATCCAACGTATTTTATACAATTATAAGGATTAATAAACAATAGATCAACTGGGTGGTGGTGGTGCATGCCTTTAATCCCAGTACTCAGGAGGCAGAGGCAGTGGATCTCTGTGAGTTCAAGGCCAGCCTGGCCTACAGATTAAGTTCCAGGACAACCAGGGCTACAGAGAGAAACTCTGTCTCAAAAAACAAAAACAAAAAATAATAGCTCATTATAAACTGCTCAGCTTATCACAATTACAAGATAATATATAGCATAATGTAATGTTCAATTGGAATTTAAACGTTTTTGTTTGGGATTTGGGAATTTTTATTTGTTTGGGGTTTTGTCT